GGGGTCTTAACTTGGTTTCCCGGAAGAAAGAAACACAGGACAGAAACACATGATTCCCCTTGTTTCACATTCTTAATGGGGGAAGCAAGCCAGGAGAGTAGGTTTTGGTTTGGAACCTGATTCGGCGCGCATGCTGATTAAGCGGGCAGGTTGGGTGAACTGTTCAGGATTACTAAAACCAAGATTCAGGCAGGTGTATTTTCGAGCGGCTAACCCGAGCTTGCGTGTAAAGGGTAGACGCAAGTTTGTGAAAAAGGGAAACTTGGTGGGGATCGACACAGTTAGATGGGACTACAGTTTGCTTGATGAATCGGAAAAGTGTCAGAGCTTCGGAGCCCCAATCGAGGAAGGATGGGTCGAGGGGTCCTTGGCGCCGTGCCCTCGCGGTGTCGGCATCTTATCAAAACATTCTAACCGTGGCACTGCAGTGGGAAAGGGGTTCCGGAAACTACATTCCATATCCGGGACATGTATCGCGAGTCCGTTTCGACCGCTATGGTAAAACGTAACCTTCCCCCAATCACCGTGGGGGGGTTTGCCAAGGATCAGTCGCCCAGTCCATCTCGGTGCTTAATTCGGCAGCGGTCTACATGAGCACCGTCTATGTCATGTATGCTGACGATATCGCGCTTGGACATGGACAAAGGAAGATTGGTCCGACTTGTAAAGAGTAGAAGGGGACGCTTGAAAACGGCGGTCTAAACGTTGGATGTGTAAGGACGTGAAGGAACTCATCCATCGCATCCCCGGTAACCTTTCATGTCCGTGCATTGCGCATAAGTCATATAAGTGTTTGCCTCACTGGTAGGTGTGGGTATACCCAAGAAGTGCTGGCTAGGGCATAGTAAGTGATAATGCGTGACAATATCTTCAAATCAATGACCCATCCATTTGTGCGAGTTGGAGGAAAAAGAGCCGAAAAGCTGACCCCGGGCGAGGTCGGATGCAAAAATAATTTTTACCACGCCGGACGATAAAGATGATACAGTGGTGTTTATGTCATGCCGCTTTAGTTACATTCTGGTGTGACCCATAACCGAAAGAGGATAAAATTTCCGGACTTACGATGTGGTACCAAATTTTAAACTACAGTTCACAGCAAAAGTGTTGACGTAGATCAATCAAGTCCCAATACTATACAAAATTCATCGTTTCCGTCCAAGAAAGTTTTAGCTTTAAGGGCTTCCAATCAAAAAACATAAAATTATTATTTAAAATTTAAAGACAATCTTTTTAAAAACCGCTCAACACTAGTTATTCACGACTGTAATGTGAGTTTCCTGCCCTTTTGGTCTCGAAGCAATCCATGGTTTGATGTCCATTATCATTGAGATGGTAATGCCAAGGAAAATCAGCGTAATGAAGGTCGCCAACAAAAACCCGACCTGAGAACGAAGCAGAGAATTAAAATACAGTATTGTAAACCACAAAAAAAAAGGAAGAGAGATTATTTGAGTGAATAAATCTTACCAGATGGGCACAGTGTAAAAACCAATACAGTCAAAAGCATCATCAAATGCTTCCGTACTACCCATAACTTTTGCCCCTGAAACAAGAAGAAGAAGTTCAGTCAAATAAGTGGGGTTTAAAGACTCAATTGCCAAAGCAGAAACAACTGTGAAAAATGCTGATTTTTTGTTGACTACGTGATTTTAGGGTAACGTAAGTAGCTTATAGCGAGTACACCAGGGGCCCAGGAGCAAGGGTACAACGACCCAGTACTGGATGGTGCGTCGGGTGGAGGTGGCGCAGTAAGATAAGCCCTCGTTTCCCAATTTAAATTTTAACTTCAACCCCCACTCCCGTCCCACCCAGTAATGTTTGAAGCAAAATTCCCAAAGGTGATCTAAAAAATTAAATTATGTTTAAAAAATTTCCAAAATTACTTTCTACGTTTCGTAAAATATTTCGGGAAATAATCCCTTGTTTTTGGGATCTTTGCTTCTGTTTTGCAAATCGCCCCACCGATGTGAAAAGTTATTTGGGTTTTGATGGTTGGTGAACCGAAGGTGGCTCAAAAGTATGGTAGTTCCATTAATGCTCGAATTTTGGGCCCAAACCGATGAAAAAGAATAACGGAAATCCCTCGGAACCCCCTTTCGGGGGCATTCGGCCCCGACCCGAAAAACCGCACCCCTTTGCCGGGTAAAATAGCCGGGGGAACCCAGGTATACCTAAAAAGGGAAAGGGCCCCTGGTGCCCCGACTATCGGGTCATCTACAGACGAGTAGACGACCCCCGCCCCGTGTGGGAACCCCATTTCCCGTCCCCCCCCCCTAAGCGAGGGGGCCTTTCCCCAACCCCTTGCCGCCACCCCGGCCTGCTTCTGCTAGGGTGACAGAGGCCTCACCTGTACCCCCAGGCCCTGCTTTTAGGGGACGGAGGTCTTTCTGCGACCCCCGGGCTGAGTGCCTGCGCCCCTGGCCCCCCCGGGGCCCTGGGGGCCCGGGAGATTTTCTAAACCTCTCCCGGTCCCGCTCCGCCTCTCCTTCGCGAGCAAACTTGCTCGCAGAAGGAAGGGGGAATTTCCACGCACTTCGCCCCGCACGATAGCCGCAATCGGGCTACGAGCGGGGGAGAACTCCCACCCCGATGGCCGCCACGAGGTCTCGCCTTGCTCAACCCACGCCGGGCATCGCCAAGCGGGGAGAGCCGGTCCACGGTTGGCCATCGCAGGGGTGGGCACTCGGGGCGTTGGCTTCTTGCGGATCATTCCCACAGGTGACCCCAAAAACATCCCTTCCATGATCACCGCGTCAACGGATGAGAGGTCCGTGAGCCTCGAGCCAATCCTCCAACGGGTCTACCGCCCAATGAGGGCGTGCCCAGCGCTGGTCCCCGAGTGTTCCTCCCCCCCTATGAGGGCCGGGCGGATTTGGGGGAATTTCCGGTCATCGATTTCTCGAATCTGGGGCATCGACCCAAATCCTGGCCCCTTGCGCCAGTACAGTGCCGCAAGGGCTCTCGCCCAGGTCCCACGGTGGAGTTCCGGCCGGGGAACTCGCTCCCTAAAAGGAGATCGTGGGGTCCCCCCTTTGATCTGAGGCCCAGCATTGCTGGGTTTCGTCGAGTAATCGGGGGATTTGCTGGTTTCAGGGCCCCCCCCCATACGGGCACCGTAAAGGGCCATGGACCGACAACCCCCGAGTAGAGTCTCCTGCAGGAGTCTCGGGTCCTTCATGTTGGGCAGCAGCCGCCCCAAACGCCGCGTTTCCCCCAAAACCCAATTGGGGCCCCGACCCGGAAATGAATCCGAAGCCCATCGGCCCATCGGTACGAGCCCCAGATCCCGATCGAGGGCTCGACCCGATGCGAGGCCTCTACCGTGAGGCTAGACCCCTCAGGGGTTTCCTCCAAACCCCGGGAAGAACAGGGCCTCGGATTTTTGGCAGACCCCCTTGAGACCAGCCCCCGGATACGTCAACGACTTGGGAAACCCCCGGCCGTGGCCCTCAGGGTTCCCTGTGGTGGTTTTGCCCGCCCCGCCGAGATTTGGGGTCGTCCGCGTGCACACGACGGCGACCCCACAAGGAAGGTCCCACAAAGAACCCAGTTGTAGCGATGTTCCACAAGAGTGGCCCCTAACACCGACCCCTGCGGAACCCGCACAGCTACATTTCACGTCCTACCGAGACCGGTCCTACTGGGGTAGACGACGGCTCTCATCCGACAAATATTGCCCCGACTATGCGGCGGAGGTAGAGAGGGCAACTTCGTGATACCACGAGCGCCTCCCTGATGCAGCTCCAGGGCATAGTGTTGAACGCGTTGGCGATGTCCTAAGGACACCGCCAACACCACTTCACCCCGGGAGACTGCTTCCTCCCGCCAGAGCCTTCACGCGCATGATCGATACGGTGGACCCCCCCCCTGACGGAAAACCGTACGGTTTTGTCCGCGATCCGGCCCAACCCACAGAGCTTTGACGAGGCCCCTTGCAACATCTTTAAAGAGTTTGCAACCTGTCAAGCAACATAGGGCCGGTAGGCGGCGGGGGAGTCCCCCGGGGCCCCCTTTCGGAGAGGCCAGTTTTCCCCGCCTCCCCCAATTTCGGAAACTGGCCCGCTCGGGATGCGGAAAAACCCCCTCGCAGTCGGGGCTCGAGAGCTGTGGACTAAGGGGGCCAGGCCCCACGCCGGCCAGGAATGCCATCGGGTCCGGGGGGGGTTTTTTTGGCTTTTAACCCGTAACACCCCCACCTTTTTTCCACCCAGGCCCCTCGGCCGTCGTCGTCATCCCTTTAGGCCCCTCAAGCGCCGGAGGCGGACCCTCTGTGGCGGGGGTATGCTCCACCACTCGCGTTGGGAACAGGGGGCCAACGACCCTCTCAAGCAGCTTGGGAAAACACCGGTGAGCGGCGGGGCCCATGGGGGGATTTTTGCCCCCCAAACCCTACGGTAGGGGCGCCCCCCAGATCCGTCCAGTGTTCCCGATCTCGCGGGGGCCCCGCTCTTGGCCCGCTTTTCGCGCCTGAAGGGTCTCTTGGAACCCTGAACCCCTAACAGCTCCGTCTCTCGCTGCCCCCATCTTCGGGGCGGCGACGCCTCTGGGGGCCTGGACCACCGGCGGCGCGCGGTCAGCAGGGAGCAGCCGTGCGATCTCCGGCGACCACCAGTAGACCGGGGGCCCTTTCAGTATTGGGGGCCCCCGGATCGCGCATCGCAGACGCGGGTTTATGGCCCCCCGGAACCAGTGCTTCACATCCGTCGAAGGCCTGTCCGGCGAGGAGCCCAGGCCCTTTTCGATGGCGGGTTTCCCGGAGGGGGCGCGATCTAAGCGCTTTTAGCGCCCAACGTGGTTCAGGTGGGGCCCGGCTGACCGGGGCCTCTGCAGGGGCGGGGGAAAGTCAAACCAATATATCGGTGATCCGAACCTGTTCCTCCCGACAAGAGCGCCACCTTGGACACGACGCGCTGCGAGGGGCATGCGAACGAGAGTCCCCCGACGAATACCCCCCGCCGTCACGAAGTGGCCACGGCCCCCCCGGTTTAGGAGAAATAGGCCCCAATCTTTTAGCCCCGTTCTCCAATGCCCGCCCCCCGGGTTCGTGCGCAGGGAAACCCCCAAGCCCGCGACCAGGCGTTGAAGTCCCCCCGCAAAGAACGGTGGGGGGGGACAGGGATCGACGACGACGGCCAGTGGCGAGCCATTGTCGTACTCAGTTAGGTTTTTGGTTTCGGCGGAAATAAGCGGCCACGACCCCCTTACTCCCAATTCGCCGCTACACAGCCCCGTCCCCTTTCAACTACGAAGAGGGGGGAGTGCCCGGCTGCGGGACCGGCACCGGGCCGCCGTGCCGTCCCCAAATCGGTCTCCCAGGAGGCCCCAGAAACCGATGGACATAGGCTCGGCGAAGCGGCGATGTTGATGGACCCCTGGCCCCTGCTCTGGAGCAGAAGATCCTGAGCACGGCCGTGGCCACTTTACCTGGGGATGCGGAGATGTGGACCTCACTGGGCTTCCCCCCCCGATCCCGCAGGTCTTTTTCGGCTGTCCAGCGGCACCTCCGTCTGGTCACGGTCGGAGGCGGAAGGTCGGCCTCCCGGCTTTGGTCGCGATAGGGGAAAGGCCCTTTCCCCCAACGGTGGCGGCAGGCTCCCCCCCGCTGCGCACCTAAAGAACCAGCGGAGGGGTTGCAGCCCCCCGCCTTGTGACCGGGTGGCCCGCGGGAAAACGGTCACACGGTGGCTCCGCCGTGCAGTACCCCAGTGCCCACCGAAGGCCCCCTGAAAAAACCTTGCCGGTCGGGCCGCAGAGTCGGCCTGCGCCCTCAGGAAACCTCCCCAAAAAGGAGGCTCCGCCCTCGGCGACCTTTGGGCCGCCCGATGGGGCAGCGACAACCCCTGCCCCCCGTCCCCCGGGGCCCAAGGTATTGTCCGGGCCTTCACGCTGTCCAGAGGGCGCTTCCCCTCTCCCCCACGGCGAGTCTGAGCTGGGCCGTTGACAGAGTGTCCAGGCCCCGGTTAAGCGAATTTGCGATTTAGTGGGTCTGGACACTCGGACGTCAGCTGCCATCCAGTGGACTCCCTCAGCTTAGCCGCTAGGGCGTCGGCTTTGGGGCCACTGGTAGCGCCGGCGACCTCGAGGAGCCGGGCTCCCGTCCGTGTGTTTTTACACCGGACGCCCGGAATCTCGAGGGCTTTGAGGTCCACGTTGGCCTTGACTTTCGTCAAGACCTCGGCGTACCCCACGCCCCTCTCCGCTGCCTCCGCCGTCAAAGTGAGAACGACGGCCGAGGAACGAGGGGCGCGAGCAGGGCCCTGAATAAAAAAATAGAAATAATCTCTCCTTGTTTCATACATAGTATATTATCACCCTATTTACACAAATTATGAGACTTACCTGTTGCATTGTACAGTGCATATCTCTGTCTTTTTTGAGGTTTGTCCTCATCCGAAGTACTAATGGTGTCATTAGTGAACGCTTGTCGTCGTACTCTCGCCCAAGGTTCACCGTCCACGTAATCTACGGACTGGCTCTGGGATACTGAGTTACCTACAAATCGTATAAAAATCCTTGTATAATTCAAAATTTCAACTGCAAATTATATCACCTCTCTCCTCGCTCTCCTTATCCTCCCTCCCTTAGTGAATAAAGCCGCAGAGAAACATACACTGATTGTGTTGACATACCTAATATACCTAGGACCTTGCCAGCTCCATAGACGTCCTGTAACCGGGCGAAAGTCTCCGTCATCTGTGCATCACGCTCTGACCATGGACCTTCGAGAGTAAGTACCTGATGACAAAAAAGAGGAAACTAACTTTAAAAAGAAAGACTATGTATAGGAAGAAGTAAAAGGGTATTAGACTTAGAAGCAGTTCGGCTGGTCTGGTGTGCTAATAGTGGGGGTAGATCCTTTGTAAAATAATGTCGTCATATTTTAACACTAACCGACCAACGGATATTGTTATTTAACTAATTTCATCACTAATCATTTTTTTGCATTTAAAATCATTGCTCCATCACGGTTGTCAATTACGATCGAGAGTCTTAAAAGTGTCAAATGAATTTCGGGTCACCTGATGGTCGTGACTGCCGCCGCTCGTGGACACTTGCAACTCATACGTCATAAGCGCCTAAGCCTCTGAGTGTCTCCCCCCTCCCCCCAGTGGGGGATACACTCACTTGATGAAATGCAACCAAGATTTCTGTCTGTGGTGTTCCTGAACAGTGCTTGTGCCAGGAAGATTGTTGGCTATAAAAAAGACGTGTAGACGGGTCACCTGGAGCATAGCTGTACCATGGTTATAATAATGATTGACGGGAAATTGACAAATAACCATATATAGGGTCACATTTACTTTTTCCTTTCATGGTAGAGGATTAACCGAGCAGACGGGTAACCAGATCGTAAGTGATTACTTCCGCCCATGGACACTCAAGAGTCACAAGTGTCGCCCGTTGAGCTCCTTTCCCCGGAATCGGCGGGTTGTGGGCTCCGGTAACCTGCTCGGTCGATGAAATGCAACTAAAGAATTGCTTAACAGTTTCCGTGCTGGCCCCTTACAGCAGCTTTAGCGGCAGCTAAAGAGCCACAAGCGAGTGGTGGTAGTGATAAGAGGGAGGGGGTAAGGGGGAAGACCAGAAGAGAGGGGGGGGCGGTTTTTTCATGAGGCGTTGGAGGTGAGTGGAATCACTTTGTTAGAGCTGGCCCATTGTGCCGATCCGGTTTTTCTACTGCAGTTCAAGAGTCACAAGTGGCGCCCCACCTTTCAGACTCTCCCTCGCATCCCCCACCCCCTACTCCTTACCATTTAGGTAAGGAGTAGGGGGTGGGGGGATGCGAGGAGAGGTTCGGCCTCCTATAAAATCACTTACTAAATGAAATGCAGTGAAACGCCGAAAGAGCTGGCCCTTGTGCATGGTTTTCAAACTGCAGATCAAGAGCCTCAATACAATGCCCGCCCTTCAGAATTGAATATTAAGGCACAGGGGGGTTGTCGGAGGGGGAGGTTAGGCCTGAGCGGAAGGCGAAGCCGTAGCGGAGGAGGAGATCAAAGATCTCCTGCTTAAGATTCGGGAGCCGGTGGAGGGAGATGCCCCCCGGGTTCCCGTGTCTGTGCGGGAGAGGGCGAGAGCGGCGGTGGACATCATAAAAAAGGTGGCCACCAAGTCCCGTGAACCTTAAGGGCTCCTTTGTGAGGGCCCTTAAGGACTCCTCCTCCGCTGTGTCGGAGGTAGTGGAGGACCTGACAGGCGAGATGGCTCGCCTGCAGACCGCAACGAGAGGCTAACGGAGCGAGTAAACGAGCTGAGCGCTCAGTTTGCCCGCTTCCAGACGAGCCTCCCCCCGCGGGAGGCCCCGTCCGCGTCCAGGCCTACCCCTACCACCAACTCAGGGGTGTCTGACGCCCAGCTGCGTGAATTTCTTGACGCAGTTGGGCGTATGCTGGACGGCCGTCTGGCCGGCCTGGAGGCGAGACTGCCCCCTGCGCCGGTTGTGCGCCCCCCGCTCGCGTCGTCGCAGCCGCCTAAGGCCGCTGCGACGATCGCGCTCCCCGTTGTGGCAAGCCGCGTCTCCTACGCGGCGGCACCGTCGGCCCCGTCTCCACCGGCTCCCCAAAGGCCGAGGAGGGGGGCCAAGGCATCGGCCCATACGCCAGCCAAGGCGCCGGCAGAGGGGCCAGCCAAGGCGCCGGCCCAGGCGCCGGCCAAGGCGCCGGCCAAGACGGGGCCTAAAGCGGCGAAGAGGAGCGGAGTGGCTTTCCCTCCGCTCCCCACTCCGACACCCCTGCCGGGCCCCTCCGTACCCGCCCCCTCCAACGAGGGTTGGCAAGAGGTGAGGGGCTCAAAGAAGTCCCGAAGGCGGGCTAGAAGGGCTGCTCAGAAAGCAGCCCATGCCCAGCCTTCACCACCGGTGGCAATGGCCTCTAATAAGAGGCCGCGGAAGCTGCAGCCGCCCAAAACCGCGGCTGTAGTCGTCACCCTGTCGCCGGAGGCGGCCCTCTTTAAAGGGGCCCGTCCCGGTCTCGCCACTGAGTTCGGGACGGCAGGGATAAGGTTGCGCCGCGCCCGGACGGGAGCCCGAGTATTCGAGTTCCCTGGGGCTGAAGGCGCGGCGACGGCCGACAAATTCGCCGAGAAGCTGCGGGGAATTTTCGCCACCACGGACGGTGTGAGGATCGCCAGGCCCACCAAATGCGCAGAACTGCGCATCTCGGGCCTGGACGACTCCATCACGTCGGAGGATGTCCGCGATGCAGTCATGGAGAAGACTGGGTGCACCGCGGACACCATCAGAGTCGGCACCGTCCGTCCGGGTCCGGGAGGCCTCGGTGCGGTGTGGGTGAGCTGTCCCGTGGCGTCGGCCAAAGTATTGGGTGACGCCGGAAGCATTCTCGTTGGCTTCGTGAATGCCAGAATCACGGTTCTGGCCGCGAGGCCGATGAGGTGCTTCAAGTGCCTAGCCGCGGGACACACTTGCACCAAGTGCGAGAGCTGCTTTGACTGCAGCGGTTTATGCTTCCGCTGCGGTCAACCCGGGCACAAGGCGGAGTGCTCTGCCGCCCCCCACTGCCCGGTGTGTGAGGCGGGTAAAAAGCGCGCCAATCACATGATGGGGCAGGGGGGCTGCAAGCCTCCCCGCGCTTCTCGGCAAACGCCGGGGTCTAACCTGCCGACCCAGGCTACCCCCGACGTCAATATTGCGTCGACGCCGACGCCCATGGAGGAGGTTGGAGAGACGATCCAGTAATGGATCAAGTCTCCAACCTCCTGATCCAGACGAATCTCAACCACTGTGCCGCGGCGCAGGATCTCTTCCTGCAAACCATGGCACAGTGGTCGATAGGTGTTGCCGTAGTCGCGGAGCCCTATTTTGTTCCTCCCCGTCCAAACTGGATGGGTGACCGGGACGGCTCCGTGGCAGTCGTCGGCTCTACGGCGGCTCATTCCCCGCCCTTGTCGCTGAGAGACAAGGGTACTGGATATGTTGCCGCGGATTGGGGGGGAATCACCATTATGGTGTATATTTCTCCCCCAACCGGAGTTTGAACGACTTCGAGGTCTTCCTTAACAACTTGGAGGCCTCGATGCGGCGACTAGTGTCTGGGTACGTCCTCGTTGACGGACGCCAGGGGCGAAGCCGTCGAGGAGTGGGCGGCGTCGGTGGGCCTCTGTTTGCTGAACAGGGGCTCCACCAACACGTGCGTGCGACAGCAAGGGGGGTCGATAGTGGACCTTTCGTTCGCTACCCCTTTTTTTTTTTTTTTTTTTTTCGTGCGGAAATCCCCTCGGATACCATCTGTCGGTGGCATGTCGGACTCGAACCGACTAAAACCGCACGCCGTCTCGGGTACTAATAGCCGGGGAACCAGGTATACCCTAGAAAGGAAGTCCCTGGTGCCCCGACATACCTCGGGTCATCTACAGACGAGTAGACGACCCCCCCCCCCCGTGTGGGAACCCCATGTTCCCTGTCCTCCCTGGAAGCGAGCGCGCTTCGCAACGCGCTCGCCGCCACCCCGGCCTGCTTCTGCTAGGGTGACAGATGGCCTCACCTGTCACCCCCAGGCCTGCGCTTATGGAGGACGGAGGTCGTTCTGCGACCTCCGGCGCCTGAGTCGCCTGCGGTACCTGGCCCGTTCCCGGGCCTGGCGGGCCGGGAGAGTCCTAAACCTCTCCCGGTCCCGCTCCGCCGTCTCCTTCGCGAGCATAACTTGCTCACAGAAGGAGACGGCAGAGTTCCACGCACTCTTGGCTGTCTTCGCAGGCCCCGACCGAGGAGGTCGACATGGGGGCTGGTCGCTTCTGCGATGCGATTACGCAGATTTGCGATGCGGCCATGCCCCGCGTTCGTGGTTGTCGGCCTCCAAGGAAGGAGGTCTACTGGTGGTCCCAGGAGTTGGCGGACCTACGAGCGGCCTGAGGCCTGAGGCCTGAGGAGTACCGAGAAGCTCGGAAAACTCTGAGGCTGGCCATCTGCCGCGCTAAGGATGCGTGTAGAGAGGAGATGCTGGAGAGTCTCGAGCGTGACCCCTGGGGTTGCCCTTATCGTGCGGTGCGTCAAAAGCTCCGCACGTCGGGCCCCCCCCTTACAGAGAATCTCCAGCCCAGCTTCCTGCAGGAAGTGGTCGAGGGCCTATTCCCGCAGCGGGCGGAGCACACACCCCCGTCGATGGCTGCATCAGCCGGAGACGACGGGGGCAGCGAGGCTGATGTTCCGCCCGTCAGGGAATCGGAGTTGGGGGCGGCTTTTCTACGGATTCGATCCAAGAACACCGCCCCCGGGCCGGACGGGGTTCCAGCCCGAGTGATGGCCCGAGCCCTCGACTACATGTCGGACCACCTCAGGGAAGTGTTGGACGCTAGCCTGGCGTCCGGACGCTTCCCTGAGCGCTGGAAATGCGGGACGCTGGTCCTGCTGCAGAAGCCGGGATGGCCTGCCGAATCGGTCACGGCCTATAGGCCTATCGTGTTGCTGGACGAGGCCTGTAAACTTTTTGAGAGGGTGCTCTCTGCCCGCATCGTCCGGCACCTTTGCGAGGTTGGCTCCGATCTGTCGGACGCCCAATTCGGTTTCCTAGAAGGGCTTCCGATCGATGCCGTAATGCGCCTTAGGGCCGTGACCGAGGAGGCCGTGAGCTGCGGCGGAGTGGTGTTGGCGGTGTCCTTGGACATCGCCAACGCCTTCAATAGTCTGCCATTCAGCTGCATCAGAGAAGCGCTCCGCTACCACGGAGTGCCAGAGTACCTGAGGCGGCTGGTGGCAGACTATCTTGAGGAGCCAACCGTCATGTACGAGGACCGAGATGGCGTCTTGAGACGCAGGGCTATGTTGTGCGGTGGTCCGCAGGGGTCTGTCCTAGGACCTCTCCTGTGGAACAGCGGGTACGACTGGGCCCTACGAGGGCGTCTCCCCCTCGGGCTGGGTGTAATCTGCTACGCGGATGACACCTTACTCACGGCCCGGGGGGCTAACTTCCAGGAGGCGGCGCGCCTGGCCGCCACGGGAGTTTCCCAGGTGGTCAGGCGCATTGAGGCGTTGGGATTACGGGTGGCCCTGGATAAGACGGAGGCCCTATTATTTCATGGGCCCCGTCGTGGTCCGCCTCAATCAAGGTCGGCTCGGTCCTCGTACCGGTCCGGGCCCAGATGAGGTACCTGGGTCTGGTCCTAGACGGTAGGTAGCTCTTCGACGAGCACTTCCGACGGCTTGGTCCGAAGCTGGTGGACACTGCCTCCGCCCTAGGGCGACTTTTGCCCAATTTGGGCGGGGCCAGTGTTCCCACGAGGCGGCTGTACGCGGGGGTTGTCCGGTCCGGTCCATGGCGCTTTATGGTGCACCGGTGTGGGTGGCGGCTCTGACCGCCCCGAATAGCGCGCGCCTCTGGCGCCCCCAGAGGATATTGGCGGTCAGAGCCATACGCGGATACCGCACGGTGTCCACCGAGGCGGCTTGCGCCCTGGCCGGAACACCCCCGTGGGATTTGGAGGCGGAGGTGCTCGCCGAAGTTTATCGGCGAGTGGCTGACTTCCGGGCGGAGAGCGGATTTCGCCCTCCGCCCGAAGACGTGCGTGAGTGGCGCGAAGCCGCTCGCCGAGCCACCATGGTCAGATGGTCGTTCCGGCTGGAGACTCCACGCGCTGGCTTTGCCGCCGTGGAGGCTCTCCAGCCGGTCATCGCCGATTGGGCAGGGCGGCAGCACGGGACCCTTTCCTTCCGGCTGACACAGGTGCTTTCCGGGCACGGTTGCTTTGGAAAGTACCTGTACTCGGTCGCTAGGAGGGAATCGAGTCCCGCCTGCCACCACTGCGACTGCAGTGAGGATTCGGCCCAGCATACGCTGGCGGTCTGCCCCGCATGGGCGACGCAGCGCCGGGCCCTCACTGTAGTCATCGGAGCGGATCTCTCGCTACCGGCCGTAGTTCGCTCCATGGCCGGTAGCGACAGTTGTTTTACCGCGGTCGCAACCTTCTGCGAGGAAGTAATCTCGCAGAAGGAGGCGGCGGAGAAGGCCCGGGAGGACGACCTCCACTCGGACCCGATCCGCCGCCGGCGAACCGGGCGGCGGAGGCGCGCTCATCTGCGCCTCATGCCGCCCTGAGTGTGGCCGCGGGTGGACGGGATGGGTTCTTCCCTCCACCCGCATTAGTTGGCCAGCCGCGAGGGGGCGGCGTCCGCGTGTGCCGGACGTCGCCTAAAGAGAGGTAGACATTTTGAGACGGAGCCCGCAGCAGGAGCGGGCCGGCGCTGGGAGGGGTCCAGAAGGCGATAACTACCTGGACCCCTCCTAAACTGGAAGCGCAAAGAGGGCACACCGTGTGGTTTTAGTCGGTTCGAGTCCGACACACCGCCCCGCCGAACGAGAGCCCCGGCGGGGTGACGGTCCGAGGGGATTTCCACACGTAAAAAAAAAAAGGGGGAGGTTTGGCCTCCTATAAGCCTCGCTCACTAAATGACAACTAAAGAATTGCTAAACAGCGTTTTCCCGTAAGGAATAACTCCGTTCGAGCCGTCCCATTGCATACCGATATGCATAGCTCACCCACTGCAGACAAGTCACAAAATAGTATCCCGCCCTTCAGAATTAAATGGTAAGGTGAGGGGGAGAAGGGAGGGGGGGTACTCTTCTGATAAATCTCACACACTCGATGACTTGCAACAAAAACATTGCTATACAGCGTTTTTCATATTTGCCGAACAATGTTTGTTTAGAAAAACTAGAGATCCCCTCGGAGTCGAATGTCGCCATAATTTTTGTTTAATTTCGTTGGCCAGTATAACTTGATCTGTCATTTTATAGATTTTCGGACCCGACTGGCCAACCTACAAACGTACTGGATACAAGTAGCGTAATTAAGATATTTACACTTAATTATTAAATTTACCCGACTTTAAAAAAAGGATGAGGTTCACAATTCACATTATCTTAAACTATTTTATCACTTGTTAAACAAATAGTAAATGATGATAGTCTGAAAAATTAGACCACACCCCACTTTCCCTTATTAGCCTCCATTACCTATGTAACATCACCACTAGGTCTGCTAATTTTCTTCGTCTACCATCAATAAAATTTACACCTTCTCTTCTATCTCCTTTGCGTTTTCTGGCGGAAATTTCCGGGGGGGGCGGTTATGTCGGACTCGAACCGACCAAAAACCGCACGCCGTCTCGAGTACCAACCCAAAAGAACAACACCAAACTGAATTTAAAAATAAACACCTATTTCGACCTGTAAATGTTATAGTAACATCCACTTACCTGAGTCTCATTGCTGATGTAATCCGGATGAACGTCAAGAAAGTCTTGAGGTAGGACCAGCGTTGTTTGACCTTCGAGCATTTTGCGCAAACGTGGAAAATACAAGCTGGACAATGGCACCGAGTCTTGATTGTTGAAGACAACTATGGCCTCTGCCTCACCATAGATGCGCATCAAATCATCTTGATCTAAATACGTCAGCGCCGGCCTCTTGTACTTCTCCAAGGACTTCGAACCAAAAAATAAAAATGGCCCTTCAAGATTGGCTTGAACTGAATATAAAAATAAAAGTAAGAATCGCACTTTGTAACGCATGTTGTCGGCTTTATGGATCGTCCATGGTTGCGACTGTCCGAAGACTCCGGATAACTATATATGGCCCGGACGGGTGTGAAGGGTGAAGGGGCTGTATTGATTTGCCCTCCACGCATGCGTACTCAGAAGAAAGCGTCTTAAAAACGCCTCCTCACGACCACACGATTGGTAGGGTGCTGAGAAATTGGATCATGAAATTTGCAACTTTTGTAAGTTAGGAATGCCAATCCATGAGATAGGACCATGATAGGACAAATCGTGCCGACTGATTGGCAGTGATATAGGGTTGTGAGCGAGGGACTTAAGCTAGGGGTCCATGTTCTAGAATGTCCTTCTAGGGTACCTTTATAAACTAGATTGATGTGTATGCATTTTACCGATCAGCGTCCTTCCGTATGCATCATTAAGAACAAAGGAAATTGCGTTTTGATTTATGTAATGAATAAATGACATATTTAGACCATATTACTGTTTGTTAGGTTTGTGTTTATTTTATAATCCCTTTTTATTATTTTTCCCTCTAAACTACCAATTTTCACAGTAGGTACAACAAATGCTATTTATAAGTTAAAATAATGATAATAATAACGGCTGTATCAAGGGTCTGATGCAGAATGCAGTTCTCCTCGACGCGGCCGTGCCTACAGTGAGGAGGTTCCTGTCTCTGGAGTCCTAACCACCGGTGTCTTGGTCCCTGTACCCGATGTCAGTGATCAACTATTATCGAATGTTTTTTTACTTTTGTGTAATCAATATGTATTTTAAAATGTAATAAAAATAATAATAATAATATTTCGATCATCTGACACAAAACGCCATTTAGTTGCAAACTGAGCAGAGCTTGTACTATGAAAACTAGATTGACTGATAGAATATTAATGTGTGTTCAAAACGTAATGTCCTATATTTCCTCCCAACTGAAGTAAATGTTTACAAATCCCCCTTAGCTTTATGTTATAACACCATCATGACATCACAACTTTACCATGCAAGACTTGTTGAACGTACAAACTTGACCTTGGTTCTGTCCTTTTGGCAACATGTTTGAACCTCCAGCATCACAGTTGTATATACAAACTGTATCTTTATAATGTAGGTACTAAAAGAACCTTTCCAATTTAGTTGGAAGAGGAACCTACGTATAATATCTCATAGGCAAGAGTACACAGAATGTTTTTTTTTTCGAAGACACGTGTTTCGATTGTTCTGAATAAAAAACATTTTATAACAAATAATAAATTTAAGCCGTCTTAAGCCAAACTAGGCAGAGCCTACATAAAAAAACATAAAAAAACATAAAAAGTTTCTTCTTTGTAACTAAAAGTAACAAATTGCATAGTATAATATGGTTGATAATGACTGCTATAGTTCATAACTGTGTTGCAGCCATTAACACCCACCTCCGGAAGATAAGTTACAGGTTTCAAGTTTCATCATGCTTGCTGAATATAAACCAAATCAAAGTTAGAAATTAATTTAACAATGTTATAAGAAGTATGGGTCAGAATAAATTGTTAGTGTGTGTGTGTGTTTGTTCGCGCGCGCGCGCGCGTGTGTGTGTGTGTGTGTGCGCATATGTGTGTGCATATGTGTGTGTGTGTTCGTCTGTGCATGTGTGTGGTGTTTGAAAGAGCATATGTATGTGTACATGTGTGTGTCTTTGGGCCTGTGTTTCCAAAACTCATCCATTAAAGATTGATCGAATTGCTCATTGAGGTCGTGTCAGGAGACGTTCGGTATCATTATAATTTAGGGCAAGCAAACAATGCGTTACTTTATGTTTACATTCACGAAATATACAAGGGTAGATACGCAACACCTTATTCACCTTTTTATATAATACGGGAGCCAAATAATAAGAGTGCCTTATCGACAGCTCCAATCTACAGAATTCCACATCACATACTTTGTCATTCCTTCTTTTATTAGGATTCAACTTATATTGTAATTCTCTGTATTCGTAAGATCATATTTAATAAGTACATTTTTCTTGCCGTAAGTATATTCAATTCACTATATAGGTCGACGGTAGAATAGCGGATAGGTTTAAATGTCATAACCTTTAGTACTCCTCTCTGAGCTCTTTCCAGAGCAAGGAGCTTATTTTTACCAGTACCACCCCAGGCGCTTATACAATACGATAGAACAGACTGAGCAAGAGCGTAATATACCATTTTTAATGTATGGAGGTCAAGGGTTGTTCTTAGATTTTTAAAGACAAACATCAGCTTTCTAATTCTGATGGTAGTCATTTTTAAGTGCTCTTTCCAGGAAAGGTGGCTGTCGATCCATACTCCGAGGTACCTTACTTTGGTTACATTAGTAATCTGCAGGCAAGAACAACTTGAATTTTGGGCACATAACTCACTATGAGCCATCAAAATTATAGAAGTAGGCAATGAGGTACACTTTGGCGCAAAAGTAACAAAGTCGGTCTTCTTTAAATGTGGATTTAAAGTTAAGAGATTTTTGGATAGCCAGGTGGTAATAGTACACATAGCTGCCTGAGCATACCGAGTTGCTTCTGATCAGGTATCACCGTGTACCAGGAGAACAGTGTCGTCAGCGTAAGTAATAATCTTGCAGTTTGTTAGCACAAGTTTACACAGATCGTTCAGATATATTAAAAACAGGGTTGGGCCCAGGACGCTACCCTGAGGCACACCGAACACCACTGGTTCCAGCTCACTCACGAAACCATCTATAGTGACACACTGATGTCTGTTCTCAAGGTAACTACGGAAAATGTCATGTACCACCCCCCGAATACGAATTCTCTCCAGATTCCCGAGCATAATCGGCACAGAGACAGTGTCAAAGGCTTTGGAGAGGTCTAAGAATATAGCTAGTGATTTGGACTTTGAGTTAAAGTGTCTAACAACTGAGTTTGTTAACTCCAATACAGCATCTTCAGTTGACTTACCACTACGGAATCCAAACTGATTTTCAGCCAAAATATTATTTTCTTTTAGATAACTTTTTAACCTGTTGTTTAATAACTTCTCCATAATTTTTGATAGGCTGGTAAGGACTGAAATGGGCCTATAGTTATTAACACTGCCTCTGTCACCGCTTTTATGCACGGGATGTACAAGACCTATCTTAAACACATCCGGGAAAACACCAGATGCAAGGCAAAGATTGACAAATGTACAATTGTTGGGGTAAGTGCAAACCTGGTGTCTTTTATAATTGCGGTAGAGATGCCATCCCAACCAGTAGCTGACGTGTTTTTGAGACTTAAAATAAGGTGGTCGATTTCTGACTCGTCGGCCTGGTAAAGGGCCATTGAGGATCGAAAAGAAAACAGACCCTTGTCGTTTATCTTAGGGGTATTGTCATACGCGGTATTCCTAGAGATAATTTTTGATTCAACGGTTTTTCCAATATTTACAAAATATTTATTTACCGAATTTGCAGTGAAAGTAGGATCTACTGAAGGCACTAAAAGGTCATTGGATGAAGATCTAGATTTGTTAATATTGCCCAACTTTTTTACAATATTCCAAGTGTCTTTCGGGTTCTTATTGAGGCTACCAAATTCATTTTGTTCATACTGTTTCTTTACGGCTTTTTAACAAACGATTACAAAAAAACTTGTATCTATTAAAAGTCGTTTTTGAAATTAAGTTTTCTGGGTCTTTTTTTAGATTAATATAGAGTTTGTCTCGGTTACATATACAACGTAAGAGACCCGGGGTAATCCATGGCTTTAATATTTTATTTTTATGCGTGATCACAAGGGGATGGGTGTTTTTTTTAATAACTGCAGAGATTGAGTCCACAAGTAGTTCAGCGGCATTATTACCATCGTCACAGGATAGAATTGGACCGAAGTCCATCCCATTGATCTCTGCCACGCAAGCCGAATTATTTACGCGTTTAGCTAGACGCTTCTTTCTATAACTATTTATTTTAAGATTACAGTTTAAGATAATAGGCGCGTGGTCAGTAACATAAGTATCTAGTACCATAGTAGTCGCATTATTTTTAGTTTTTAAGAAAATATGATCAAGACAACTATTATTACGAGTTGGCAGGGTATGAGCGGCCATTACGCCGTGGGACATAATAGTATTTAAATATTGGTCACAGTTATGATCAAAGTTGTCGGGCGCAATGTTAATATTTATATCCCCGATAACCGCAACCTATAACCGCCTGTACTATAGGAACCAGACTATTGATAAATATATTAATATATTTCTATATAAATTACACCCAGACACAAAACAAATGATCGAGCTCATCAAATAATTATTTGCCCTGGATGGGAATCAAACCCACGACCCCTGGCTTACCAGACAGGGTCACTAACCACTAGACACGCAGGCCCGGCAAATAGTCATCATAGTGAAAAATGTAATTTCTTGTTCAAAGGCATAATTACACCAATTTATTTCCTATTTTTTTTTTTCGTAGCATTTGCTACATCTTCTTTCAAAAGGGCCAACCTGTTTTACGATAGATAGTAATAAATTAGTTCTTTAGACAAAAATTAAAAATGTATTTGTATTACTGTGCTGCACTATTATTTAAGAAGGAAAATTTGACACAAACCCTTTTTTTTTTTTTTTTAACGTGTGGAAATCCCCTCGGACCGTCACCACACCGGGGTTTGCGGCGGGGTGGTGTGTCGGACTCGGATCGACTAAAACCACACGGTGTGCCACTCTGCGCCTGTAATAGGAGGGATCCGGGAACAGCTGTTATTGATGATTAAGACATCCGGACCCCTCCTAGCGCCTGCCCGCTCCTGGTGCGGGCTCCGTCTCAAAATTTTCCTCTCTTTAGGCGACGTCCGGCACACGCGGACGCCGCCCCCTCGCGGCTGGCCAAACTAATGCGGGTGGAGGGGAAACCCACCCCGTCCACCCGCGGCCACACTCAGGGCGGCATGAGGCGGTGATAGGCGCGCCTCCGTCGCCCGGTTCGCCGGCGGCGGATCGGGTCCGAGTGAAGGTCGTCCTCCCGGGCCTTCTCCGCCGCCTCCTTCTGCG